AAACTGTTCTTACCTTCACTTCTCTTAGCATTTAGGAAACTAATGTTTACATCTAGATTGTAAGGCCTAGGGTTACTTGCTTGTTACTTGACTCTGGAATTAAAGCATTGTGTGTAAATCTGGGCTTTCTCATAGAAACTTGACTAATCCGGGTACTGTTGAGAATACTCAATTTAAATTATTTTTGTGGCTATGTGTCTTATTAAAATTTATATAGAAATACCATAGTGTAAAAACTTGCCTGAGTACTCATCTGAACTGGATTTAATGTGGAGTTGGGTAAAATCCTGGAGATTTAAACTATTCTCTGCTTACATTTGAGCCACTGTGAGGGCATGCCTTTAGTCCTAGCACTGGGGAGGCAAAGGCAGGCAGATCTCTGTGAGTTCAAGGCCAGCCTGGTCTACATAGTGAGTTCAAGGCCAGCTGAGGCTACAGGTGACCCTTCCTCAAAAAGAACCCCTTCCCCCCAAAAAAATTTCTTTTTACAAAGACATGGCACAAGTCTAAATTCCTGGATTAAGTCCTTTGGAGGAAAGCTCTGTAATAATTTTGACAGTGACACAGTAAGTACTCTTAATAGTAACACTTGCAGTTTTATGATTTATTCTTATTTTATGTGTATGATTTTTGCCTACACACATAAAGTGTACCTGTGAATGCAGTGCCCGAAGAGGACTTTGGATCCCCTAGAACTGGAATTATTGCCATATGGGTGCTAGGAAGTGAGCCCAGGTCCTCTGCCAGTGTGTTGTTTTTTTTTTTTTTTTTTTTTTTTTTTAATATGTATATTTTTTATGTGTATGTGTGTATTGCCTGCATGTAGGTAAGTGTACCTGTGTTGTGCAGTGCCCGAGGAGGACAGAAGAGGTTGTTGGATCTCCTGGAACTGGAGTTAACAGACAGTTCTTAGCTGCCATGTAGGTGCTGGGATTTGAACCCTGGTCTTCTGCAAGACCAACCAGTGTTCTTAACCACTGAGCCATCTCTCCAGCCCCCTTATTTTTAATATTTTATCTTTCATTTTTCAAATATTTTTATTTAATATTTTTATTATTGTATGTGTATGAGTGTATTGCCTGCATGTATGTGAGTGCACCCATGTCGTGCAGTGCCGCCGAGGTCAGAAGAGGGCTTCAGATTCCCCTGGAACTGGATGAGGATGGTTCATAGCCACCATGTGGGTGCTGGGATGATCTTTACTTTTTTTTTTTTTTTTTTTAAGTCTTTTTGAGACAGGGTCTCCCTGTAGCCCCAGCTGTCCTGGAACTCACTATGTAGACCAGGCTGGCCTTGAACTCACAGAGATCCGCCTGCCTCTGCCTCCTGAGTGCTGGAATTAAAGGCGTGCGCTACCACACGCAGCGATCTTTACATTTTTATTTATTTGTCTTTTTGAAGCAGGGTCTTCCTGTAGCCCCAAGCTGTCCTGAAACTCACTGTGTAGACTAGGCTGGCCTTGAACTCACAGAGATCCACCTGCCTCTGCCTCCCAAGTGCTGGGACTACAGGCGTGCGCCACTACGCCCGGCTATCTTTACATTTTTAAAGACAGTTTTATTTGTAACCCAAGCTGCCCTGGAATTTGTAACTATTCTCCTGCTTCAATGCTGGGATTACAGGAGTGAGCCACTGTGCCTAGCTCTGTTTGCTCTTACTTGTCTGCATAACCTTGTTATGGGTAACACTGCGCTTTGATATCAAAAGATTGCCCTCTTCTTTGTGTCCTCAAGGAGTTTGCCTGCCTACTGGGCAGTTAGCATTTTATATTTCTTTGTATCTGATTTGTATTTAATTTTATGATTTATTTCTACTGTTTTAGTTAGCTTTTATATAATAATTGGTTTCACTGTGGCATTTTCATACGTGTATATAATTTAATATATTCACTTCCCCCATTTATCTTCCCTCATGTTTTTTTTTTTTTTTTTTTTTTTTTTTTTTTAAAGATAGGGTCTCCCTGTAGCTCCAGCTGACCTGGAACTCATTATGTAGACCAGGCTGGCCTCAAACTCACTAGTCTCTGCCTCTCAAGTGCTGGGATTAAAGGCGTGCACCACCACCCCTGGCCCTCTCTTAAAATATTTATTTTTAATTATGTGTATGTATGTTTGTCGGTTTGTGCATGTGAGTACAGGTGCCAGATGAAACCAGAGATGTCAGATCCCTCTGTAGATAGAGTTATAGGCAGTTGTGAACTGCTGGATTTGGGTACCAGAAACCAAACTGGGGTCCTCTGCAAGAGCAGTCCGTGCTTTTAACCACCGAGTTACCTCTCTAGCTCCCCATTGCTCTCACACCCACCTCTTGCCCTTTTTGAGACAGCTTCTCAAGTAACCTAGGCTGGGCTCAAACTTGCTGTGTAGCTGAGTGTGATCTTTAACTTTCTGTCTTCTGCCTCCACTTCCCAAGAGCTGGGATTACAGGCATGTGCCACCACATGTAATTTTATTTGGTGCTGGGATCCAACCAAGGGCTTTATGCATAGCAGGAAAGCACTCTGCCAATTGAGCTCCATCCCCAGCCCTAAAGAGTCCAGTATAATGTTCTCAGTGAGTTCTTATGTAGATTTTGCTACACATAATACTTGTTTCCTTATATGTGGGACTTCACTAGATTTATACTTTTCTCTAGTGCTGTACTTGCCCAGGTGTTTAATAGATTTATCATTCAGCAGGCCAGTTGAAATCTGCCAGGTACCAGGAATTATCACTACGGTATTGAAGTAGAAGATAAAGACATAAAAGTAATGCCAGCAGTTGAAGTATGTTTTAACTATCATTTTTGCATTGGCCTGATTAGTAGTATTTATCCAGGATTTATTTTGTAATAACTACTACTTCAAGAACATTGCACATATATTCTGTTTCAACAACCATGTGAAGTAGGAGCAGTTTTAGAGATGAGGAAGAGATAATGAGATTTAATTAACTTACCCAAAGTCTCCTAACTGAGTTGATTTGGGAATCAAACCTAGGCAGTCTGGCTTTGGAGCATATGCTTCTAATTGTAGGATGACTACTGTGGAAATTGTTTTATGGCTAATTGGTTGCTGTTTACTTTTCTTCCTCTTAAATTGTTTTAATTACTGGGCTGAAGAGATTGGGACTGGAGAGATGGCTCAGTGATTAAGAGCACTTGACTGTTCTAGCAGAGGACCTGGGATTGGGTCCCAGAACCTACAGGGTGGCTCAGTTCCCAGAACCCACATAGTGGTTCAGTTGCCCTCTTCTGACTTCCTTGGGCACTGCACACACGCTGATAACACAAACATAGAGGCAAAACACACATGAAACAAAAATAAGTCTTTAAAAAATTTTTAAAGAATGACTGCTCATTTACTTATTTTTGAGACAGGGTCTTACTGTAGACCAGGCTGGCCTGGATCTCACAGAAATCTGCCTGCCTCTGCCTTTGCCTCCCAAATGCTGGGATTAAAGACATGTGCCACCTTGCTCAACTGTTAGTCATTTTGAGAGGAGGTTTTTGTTTTGAGACAAAGTCTCACTGTGTAGTTCAGGCAGGCAGGTGGGCCAAGAGTAGGTTTGTGTAGCAAGATGGGGGCTCCTGTATCCTAGGCAGATCTAGAATTCTGTGTAGCTGAGGATGACTTTGAACTCCTTATCACTTGTGCCTCTACCTCTCAAGTGCTGTGTTTATAAGCATGGACCACCACACATGGTTTCTGTGGTGTTAGGAATTGAACCTAGGGCCTGGTATATGTTAGGTAAACATTTTGCCAGTTGAACTATATCGCCAGTCCTGGATGTTTATAATGTTTATTATCTGGTTATCATTGGTATAGACTTGAGTTCATTACTAGAATATTCGTTTACTCAAACACTGTTAAATGTATAGAGTTTACAGCCTGAGGGAATTGACATGTTAACAGATAATGAGATATGAGTGTAACTCAGACGGGAGTAAGGCCTAGGAGAGCCACGAGTAGGTTTACTAGAGGAAGAGATGCTCGGGAGTACATTTGGTAAAGGGGAGTAGTGGGCATTCTGCCTGAGGATTCTACATGTTCAAGTAGTTGAGAACCATAACTTAAGGAAATATTTGTCCTTCTTGGCTAAATAGGCCAGGATTCAGCTATGGGTAAACCAGAGTTTAGAGAAAATTAAGGTTGGCAGCCTCCCAATCTTGAGTGAATGCCAAGCAAGAACAAAACTACATCTTCAGATTATTTAAATCTCATGTGTTTTCTAACTTCATAGCGCTATGAATGAACAATAATAACATCAATAAACTAGGAGTGGTAATACTACTTAGCTTGTTGGTCTTAGAGGTTTTCACCACAATTTTTAGATAACAGACACTAGCTTTACTATGATACTTAACAGATATGGAAATATTTAGAAAGCTGAGGCAGGAGTGTTCTCATGTCTTGAGAGATAGAGTTTTTTTTTTAATGTGTTTATGAAATGTAGTTAAACATTTTTTTCTTTTTCAAATGTAATTGTTGTCAAGTTCTTCAGGTTGAATTATGGATCTTGTGACCTAGTCTTGCATAAAGCAGCCCCTTAGCACCTGAAGTGGAAGGCTTTAGCTTTTCATGCTGTGAGAAGTTGGATGAATGAAAATATGTCAGACCTACAGACAATCAGAACAGCAGACTTTGGAAGAGATGCATCTGTTTATTTATAATGAAGTTGAGTGCAAATTAATCTGTCCATCCCCCGTTTTATACATTGTACAGTGTGTGTGTGCTTGTGAAGGCCATGCCATCTAGACTGGGTGGCCAGTGAGCTCCTGGGATCTGCCAGTCTCTGTCTTCCCAACACTGGGGTTAAGGGCACAACACAGCCTTGCCCAGATTTTATGTGGGTGTGCTGGAGATTTGAACTCAGGTCCTCATGCTTACACAGCATGTACTCTTACCAAAAGAGCCATCTTTTTAGGTCCTAAAGTAGAGTTTTTGCTGTGGATTTCAAGCAACAATAGAATCTTCAAGGTGTGTGAATAGCCATTTTATCATTTACTTCTTCTCATTCCAGAATTACATGCTGACTTTGTAAACTGGAGAAGCCAGTGGTGCTGTTGCTGTTCTTAGGAGGCAGTGTCTAGGTCCAGTGCAAGTTGAATCATTATTCCACTAAGGTAAATGTGCGGTGGTAAAAGGAACTAACTTCACTGATTTTTGTTGTTATTGGTTTTGTTTTGTTTTGTTTTTGTTTTTTGGTCTTTTTGAGACAGGGTCTTCCTGTAGCCCCAGCTGGTGTGGAACTTATTATGTAGACCAGGCTGGCCTTGAACTCACAGAAATCTGCCTGCCTCTGCCTCCCAAATGCTGAGACTAAATAAAGGTGTGTGCTACCATGCCCGGCCTATCCAGAGGCTTTCTAAATGGAGTCTGTGTTGGTGTTTGTAAGTGTGTGCATGAGTGTGTGGTTTGTACTAGCCTGTGTACATGCAGAAGCCATAAGAAGGCATTGGATATCCTCTGTCACTCTGCCTCTTCCCTTGAGCTTATGACAAGGTCTGTGAACCTGGGGCTTGTGTTTTTCCAGCTAGTCTGGAACCAACAAACTCCAGTGCCTTTTTCCCCCCCCCCCCCTTGCCCTATGCCACCCCTCTCCCCAGTTGGGAAGCTCAACTTGTTATCTGGGTGCTGGCATCTGAATTCTGGGCCTCCTGATTAAACAACAAGCTCTCAACTGATCCCTGCAGCCCCCGTCTTTTTCTTTTGTTTTTGAGACAGGATCCTACTGTATGAAGTTCTGGCTTTCCTGGAACCCACTATGTAGACCTGGCTGGCCTCAAACTCACAGAGATCCTTCTGCCTCTTGTGTCAGGATTAAAGGCATGCACAACCATACCCAGCCCAGGTTTTACATTCTTGAGAAGCTGTATTTGTTTGAAAAAAGTATTATTTGTTCATATTCTTGGTGTAATCTTTTATACATGTTACTTGTATATGTTATATACTTAATTAAACTTGAATTTGTTGGGCTAGCTAAATAGCTTAGAGGATAAAGGTGCTTACTGCCAAACCCTTGACCTGTTTCATCCAAGGACCCACATGGTGGAAGGTGGGAACTTATTCCCGAAAGTTGTACTCTACCTCTGTGTTGGCATTCTCACACACACTGCATTTTTTAAAGTTGGGTTTAATTGGGTATGGTGGCACAAGCCTTTAATCCCAGCACCCAGGAAGCAGAGGCAGGTGGATCTCTATGTATTCAAGGCTAGCCTGGTTTCAGGCCAGACGGGGATGCACTGTGAGACCATGATTTTTTTTTTTTAAATTGGGGTTTGTGTGGTGCTGCATACCTGCAATAATCCTAGCCTTTGGGAGACGGAGGCAAGAGGCTTAGGAGTTAAGTGTCATCTTCAGTTACATAGTGAGTTCCAGAGCAGCCTGAGCTAGAAACTCTGCTTAAAAGTGTATATTAAAGCTAGGAGTGGTGTCTTATATTAAAGTACTCAGGAGTCTGAGGGTGATGGCAAATTCTTCAGTTTGGACTATACGGGGTATCATTTTGTATGTGCACACATAGCTTTTTTAAAAGGCAGGGGCTGGGTGAGGTGGTACACACCTTTAATCCCAGCACTTGTGAGGGAGAGGCAGATGGATCTCTGAATTTGAGGCCAGCCTGGTCTACCTAGTGTGTTCCACAGCAGGGACTACAGGGAGACCCTGTCTCAAAATAGACCCCAGCCCCCCCAAAAAGGCAGGGGCAGGAGAGATGATTCAGTGGCTAGAGCATGACATGAACCCAGGTATGGTTCCCAGACGACTTTGTCCCAGTGTTCTGAATTTTCATAATGATATTCTTGGTGTAGCTGTTTTCTCGGTGTATGCTACCTACCTGGGCCTAACACTTGCAACCTTTAATTATGGAATCTTCTGGCATTACATCTTTCTTTCCTTTTTTTTTTTTTTTTTTTTTTTTTTTTTTTTTTTTGGTCTTTTTGGGTTTTCCTGTGGCCACAGCTGGCCTGGGATTCATGTGTAGACCAGGCTGGCCTTGAACTCACAGAAATCCACCTGTCTCTGCCTCCTGAGTGAACTGATAACTTGCTTTCTCTTAAATTTGAGAGGAAAATCAATTTTAGGCTGGGAGTTAGAACTCATTGGTTGAGTGCAGGAAGCCCTGGCTTTGATCCACTGAGTTGAGGTTTGAAAAAACAAAGGAAAAGCCAGGCTGACCTGAGTTTGATCCTCAGGACCCATGTGGTAGAAGGAGAGACTCAACTCCAGCAAGTTGTCCTCTGACTTCTACTCACCCTTGTGTGGGCCTGGCATAATTTTCCTTTTTAGAAACCAAATAAAAGATGTTCTGGGCTTGGAGAGATGGTTCAACGGTTAAGAGCACAGGCTCTTCTTGAAGAAGTCCCAGGTTTGAAACCTGGCACCCACATGGCAGCTAACAACTGTCCATAGTTCCAGGGGATGTGATACCCTCTGTCTTCGTGGGGATTGCACAACTTGGGTGCACTTAACACACATGCAGGCAATACACATATACACATAAATACACATAAAAATAAATAAATTTGCCGGGCATGGTGGTGCACGCCTTTAATTCCAGCACTCAGGAGGCAGAGGCAGTGGATCTCTGTGAGTTCAAGGCCAGCCTGGTCCACATAGTTCCAGGAGAGCTGGGGCTACAGGGAGACCCTGTCTCAAAAAGACCAAAATAAATAAAATAAATAAATAAATTTATTTTAAACAAAGATGTTCTGAAAAGACACATTTCAGTAGGGTGTTCATATATTTACCTAAAGGAGATTTCAGGGACCTTTATTGATCATATGTATCTGAACTAAGTTCTAGTTGAGAAATCTAAGTAGGTAGAACACTGATGTGGTCTCCAAATTTAAATAATTTTAATTAATGCCTTACTTAATTTTAAATGGAAGCAGTGGGTTTGATTTTCTTTGATTTCTTTGTAGACTTGGGTGTTTGAGAAGATCTATAATGGTAGCTGATCTTGAAAGGCTTTTTTGCCCTGAAGTAGAATTGTATTTGTGTTTAACCTTCCACCCCCAACCCTGCCCCAACTTTGTTGAAGTGCTGATGGAAGGAAAGGCACCAGGTTGTTATCACAATAGGAAAGTCTTAGTGGAAGCTAGAAACTGCAGAAATGACTTAAAAGTGATGAGTAATGCTGGATTGGATTCAAAACTTGAATATTTGAAAAAGACATAACCGTTGTCCTGTAGAGCAGTCCTAATCAATAGAAATTAAATGTAAGTTACACGTAGTTTAAGTTTTATTTTAAAAACATATTTAATTTTTTTTAATTTATTATTTTTATTTTATGTGTATGTGTGTATTGCCTGCATGTATGTAAGTGCACCCATGTTGTGCAGTGGCCACAGAGGTCAGAAGAGGCTGTCAGATCCCCTGGAATTGGAGTTACAGACAGTTGTTAGCTGCCGTGTGGGTGCTGGGATTCGAACCTGGGACTTCTGTAAGAACAACCAGTTCTTACAGTTCTTAACCCCTGAGCCATCTCTCTGGCCCTTAAAAATATATTTTATTCGTATGAATATTACCTGCATGTATGTAAATGCACCCTGGGTCATTTAATGCTGGAGAAGGTTAGAAGAAGGCTTCGGATCCTGGAACTGTAGTTAGGGATGGGTATTAGCCACCATGTGGGTGCTGGGAACCAAACCCCGGCCCTCTGCAAGAGCAGCCTGTGTTCTAAACTGCTGAGCCATCACTAGCCCTAATAGTTCAAAATTTATTTTTATTTTACTTTTTTGAGGGAGGGCCTCATTAACTCTCTGTCTTTTATTTTGTTTTGTTTTGTTTTGTTTTGAGACAGGATCTTCTGTAGTCCCAACTGGACTGGAACTGGCTGTGTGGACCAGGTTGGCCTACTGCTGGGACCAAAGTCATGTGCCACCATTCCTGGCTTCTACCTTGTTTGAGACAGTCTTGTACTGACCCTGGAACTCAATGATTTGATTTGACTAGACTGGAAGTCCTAGGAATTCCCCTGTCTTGGCCTCCCCAAGTTCTGGGATTATAGGCATGACTTTTGGATTCCAACTCAGGTCCTCATGCTTGTGCAGCAAGCAGTTTACCAATTCTTTATATAAAGAGCCATCTTTCCAGTCCTCACTTTTTTTTTTTTTTGAATTGGTCTTTTTGAGACAGGGGCTCCTTACAGCCCTGTAGCCCCAGTTGTCCTACAGCCTAGAGCTCACTATGTAGACCAGGCTGCATTCTGTTCTTTTAAACGAGTCTTTATATCCTGTTTCTTTTATACTTAGAACTCGTCTTGGTTTCTGACATTTTGAAACATGAGTATTTTATATATATTGTGTATGTTTGTGCTGTGCACCATGGTGTGTGTGTGGAAGTCAGGGGAAACTTGTAGGAATGTGGGCCCTAGGTCTAAGACTCGGGTTATCAGATTTGGCAGCAAGTACCTCTACCCACTGATCTATCTTGCTGGCCCTTGTTTTGACATTTTGAAGGCTCAGTAGGTAAATGCTCACACTGCTGGAACTCAGCCTATAGCTCAGTGGTAGAGTGCCTACTATATACAAGTCCATCATCCCCAGGGCATTGCTAACAGTGCTTACTCCTGAAGGAACAGATAAACTAGTAGGATTAAACTTTTGCAAACAATATATAAAGTGGTGATAAATTATTATGACAAAATAAATTCAAGCCAAATATGGTAGCACATGCCTGTTAATCTCAGCATTTGGGAGATGGGATTAGGGTCAGATCAGGCTTTCAAGGCTAACTTCAGCTGCGTAGTTAGATCAAGGCCAGCCTGAGCTACATAAGACCTTATGTCAAAACAAAAAGAAAAATAAATAAGTGTATATATTTTTCTTCTTCTAAACTTCAGTAGACTTTTTGGGGAAGAGAAATTGGTCTTTTAAAAGGATCAGTGTTGCTGGGCATGGTGGTGCACGCCTTTATCCCAGCACTCGGGAGGCAGAGGCAGGTGGATCTCTGTGAGTTCAAGGACAGCCTGGTCTACATAGGGGTTCCAGGACAGCTGGGGCTACAGGGAGACCCTGTCTCAAAAAGACAAAAAAAAAAAAAAAGGATCAGTGTTGTAGCCAGGTGTGCTGGTACTAGCCTGTAATTCCAGCACCCTGGAGACGCCAGCCTGGGGTAAGAT